TTTTTAATAAAAAAAAAGTGTTTAATTAAATTAGGGTTTACGTAAACCCTAGACAACTAAAGATAATTATCCCTTCTTTGCATGCAACAATTTGCTGCTGTTGCTGTTGTTGCTGCTGCTGCTGCTGTTCTGTCGTAACTGCAACAAGAACAGCAGCAGCAATTGCAGTAACTGCAACAGCACCAGCACCAGCACCAGCAGCAGCAGCAGCAGCAGCAGCAGCTGCTGCTGCTGCTGCTGCTGCTAGGGTATAGGGGATATATATAAAAAACAAGAGGAGACAATTTGTCTATCTATAGAGTGTCTCCTTATATAAACTTATTATATAATATACAATTGCTGCTGCTGTTGCTGCTGCTGCTGCAGCAACAACTGCAGCAGCAGCAACTGCAGCAGAAACTGCAACTGCAGCTGCTATTGCTGCAGCAATAACTGCTGCATCAACTGCAGCAACTGCTACTGCAGCAGCAACTGTTACTGCAGCAGCAACTGCTACTGCAGCAGCAGCAGCAGCAGCAGCAGCAGCAAATAAAGAAATAAAGAAAAGTAAGCAGACGTTCATATATTAATTGGAATATCCATAGTGCTGCTACTGCAGCAACTACTGCAGCAGTAGCAACTGCAGCAGCAGTAGCAACTGCAGCAGCAGCAGCAACTGCAGCAGCAGCAGCAGCAGCAGCAGCAGATAATTAAGTAAGTAGCTGTTCATGTATTAATTGGAATCTGTATAGATAGATTTTATCTTTAGGGTTTGTAGGTATAATTAATTTATATAATTTATATTCTTCTCCTTTTTCTGCTGCTGCTGCTGCTGCTGCTGCTGCTGTTTGTGCTGCTGCTTCTGCTGCTGCTACTGTTGCTGCTGCTGCTGCTGCTGTCTCCTGCTGCTCCTCCTCCTTAGGGGTTATTAATAAAGGATTTATTATTGCCATTATCTCTATTGGTTGTTTATTTAATAAAGAAAAAAGAGATTTAGTAAAAATACCCAAATCAAATTCATAAGAAGAAGGACAAAAAAATGTCTGAAAAAATACACAAACCCTAAACCCTAAACCCTAAACCCTAAACCCTAAACCCTAATTTTTAAAAATATATAATTATATATAATTATATATTTTGTCAATATATACTAATCAAATTTATAAGAATAAGGACAATAATATGTCTAAATAAATATTACACAAACCCTAAACCCTAACTAAACCCTAAACCCTAAACCCTAATTTATAAGAATATACACTAATATACAATAAATGTACACTTAGGAGGAGACAGTAAAAGGAGACAGGAAAGGAGATAAAAAGGAGACAAATAAAAAGGAGACAATAAAAATGGAGACAAATAAAAAAGGGAGACAACAAAAAAGGGAGAGTAAAAAAAGGAGACAAATAAAAGGAGACAATCATAAAAGAGTCAAATAAAGAAAAAGGAGACAGTAAAAGAGACAGTAAAAAAGGAGACAAATAAAGGAGACAAGAAAAAAGGAGGCAAAAAAAAAAAAAGGAGACAGTAAAGGAGACAAACAAAAAAAGGAGACAATAGAAAAAGAGGAGACAAAAAAAAAGGAGACAGCAAAAAAAAAAAAAGACAAATAAAAAAAGGTGACAGTAGAAAAAAGAAGACAGTAAAAAAAGGGAGACAAAAAAAGGAGACAGAAAAAAAAGGAGACAAATAAAAAAAAAGGAGACAAATAAAAAAAAGGGAGACAATAAGGAAAAAAGGAGACAAAAAAAAAGGAGACAGTAAAAAAAAAGGAGGAGACAAAAAAAAAAGAAAAAAAGGAGACAAAAAAAAAAAAAAAAAAAAAAAAAAAAAAAA